AAAATTTAAAATACAATACTAAATTCAGTTTTTATTTTTGGTCTGCCCCGTGTGGTCGTTATAGTGAAGTATGCTTATCCGTTATCTAACATGCCGTATGGTACTTGCCGATCTAGTGTCTCGCCGACAAAATTAATATCGTGCTCTGTTTGTAATGAGTATTTCCATAAAAAATGTGTACCAATCTCCGTCAAATAAATTTGGATTTACTTAATTTGACCTGTGTAGTTTGTGAACAAGATTTAGTTATTAAAAAAAATCTGACAACTAGAAAACACCATTCTAATAAAAGTTCTGTAAAATCATTAACCGATGATTTTAATTTAAAAACCATAATAGATAATATCATGATTCTAATATATAGGTTTGAAAGTGTATCAGCTACTAATATGGAAGTTGAGAGTCAGTAAATTTTCGTTCAAGAAAATTGGATATATTATATTATTAGCATATGGCTCCGGCAAGCACAAAATAATAAATAAGTAAAAATATATAAATTACAATAATATAAACTAGAATAATAGTCATAGAACAAATTAAAAGACTTAGTACTAATTAAATTATATAGTTATAAAAAAGTCAAAAGAAAGCAATTAAAATTAAGAATTAAGTTTGGTAATAGTAATTTGGTAACTCATAGTTTCATTGTTTTAATTGATATTTCCTTGGTCACAGTCGCACGCCCAGTTTTTTCATCCATTCGATACCCTCCTCGCTGGCTGTGTGGATTTCCTCTATACCTCCCGGGAACTTCATTGACGGGCATTCTTCGACTATATGTTTAATGGTTTGTTTTTGTCCGCAGCTGCATAGAGGGGATTCCACCATTCCCCACTTATGTAATAGATAATTGCATTTTCCTTGGTTGGTTCTAATGCGATTTAGCGTGGTCCATAAGGCTCGTGGTAAGTTGAAACCTGGTACTTTTACCGTTGGATCCTCAACCAGTGATGAATTTCTTACCTCACACTCTAGCCAAATCTTTCTCCATTCAGCCTGTAATTCCCTAGCGGTTATATCTTCATCCCAAACAGGGCGTCTAGATTTTAGCCTTTTATTTGGGTGATGTTCTATGTCGTTATAGATAGGCAGTTCAGTGTTCTTTTTAACTTTATTGATAATATTTTGTGTAGCTATTTGTCTACGTATTTCCGGAGGGCCAATGTTTGAAAGTACGGGAAGCCATTGAGTTGGAGTGCTTCTTACTGTACCCGTGACTATTCTCATTGCTGCATTTAGTTGAACGTCAATTTTATTGCAGTGAGCACTTCTTGTCCACACGGGAGCGCAATATTCAGCTACACTGTATACTAAGGATAGTACTGAGGTTCTCAGAGTACCTGCACTGCATCCCCAAGAAGTCCCAGCTAATTTGGATATGATATTGTTTCGTGATTTTATTTTGTTTTTTGTTGTTTCTAACTGTTGTCTAAAAGTAAGCGCCCTATCGAGTTTGATTCCGAGATACCTAGGACATTCTTCATTTGCGATGTTGACTCCACCAATTTTTAGTTTAAGTTCTCTATTTGCCTCACGGTTGTTCAGGTGGAAGGCCACTGCTGTTGTTTTATTAGCATTTAGGTTGAGATGCCAGTTTTTGAAATAATTTTGTAAAGTGTCTAGATCTTTATTCAGGGTCTCTTCTAGTTGTTCAAAGGTCTTTCCTTGGGCTACTAGACCTATGTCATCTGCATAGATGAATTTCCTCGAATTAGTTACCTCAATGTCGGCGGTGTATACATTAAATAGAGTCGGTGATAGTACTGATCCTTGTGGTAATCCGTTTTGTAAGATTCTTTTTCGGCTTGTCTCCCCATTCATGTTAACTTTGAAACTTCTGTCAGAAAGTATTTGTTCCAACAAGCGTAAAGTAGCTTTACATCTAAGATTTTTTGCTAATTTGAGTAATAGGCCTCTTTTCCAGACTGTGTCGTACGCTGCCGACAGGTCGAGAAAGACGGCCCCGGACTTCAACTTATTTTGAAAACCATTTTCAACGTGGGTCGTTAAGGCTAGCACCTGTTCGCAGCAGTTTCTTCCACTTCTAAAACCGGCTTGCTCCATGGGTATTGTACGATCTAATAGTGGAGACATCCGCCTTAGTAGTAATCTCTCAAAAAGCTTGTATACTACTGATAGTAACGAGATTGGCCTATAATTTCTCGGGTCATTTCCCGGCTTATTTGGCTTCAGGATGAACACGACTTTCGCTTCGCGCCATGCTTTAGGGAGAGTTCCTTTGTTGGCCACCGATGTGAAAAAACGAGCAAGCCAAAATCTACTTCTAGGGCCTAGGTTTTTGATAAATTCCGGTAATATTCCGTCGACACCTGCTGCTTTCCCATTTTTGACATTTTTTAAGGCTAGATGGACCTCCTCTTCTATAAAATCGTTCATTAAAGCAGAACTTTCTTCACAGTTGTCTAGTTCATTTTTGTATTCATTTTTAATCTTAATGATCATTTGTTTTGTAGGTTTAATGTTCGAAGTTTTGAAAAGGTTACTTGCCACTGCGTTCGCTGTGATGCCATGTTCTTTCCTGGTAGGTTGAGCGGAGCCTAGCTTTCTTAATAGGTCCCAGCTTTTTCTGCTTGAGTGGGAAAAGTCCATCTCTTCCATGGCTTTAACCCACCTTTGTCTCCGTTCTTCATCTAGTAAACTGATTAGCCGGTCTGCTGTTACTTCGGATTGTGTTTGTCCGTATTCGTTTAACAGTTTGTCACATTCTTTTGACCAGCAGGGTATGTAATCCTGTCTATGTCCCCTGGGCATAGCTTTACCCGCTGCCATTTTGATTAATTTTGTAAACCTGTCATAGTTAAGCGGTATCGGCTCAATGCGGTTTATATTTTCTTCCATATAAGTTGTGTACTTGGCCCAATCCGCTTTCCTTACATTCCATCTATTAAGTTTTGGTTTGCTCACTCTAGTTAGATTTAGACCGATATCCACTTGGACAGGAAGGTGTTGGCTCCTGGGAAATTCTTGTAATATTCGCCGGTTTGCTTTAAGAGGCATATTGCTAGAGTCCGTAGTGACAAAACATAAATCAGGGGATGTGATCGAACCCCATCTTCCTGATTTAAAAGTGCCGCCTTGTTTAGCATCATACAGTAACTGGAGATGGTTTAATTGAGCCCAGTTGCTTAGGGTTTCTCCATTATCATCTGTACTATTATAGCCCCATTCCATGTTGTGCGAGTTGAAGTCTCCTATATAAACTGCAGGGTGCTCTGCCAGTGGTAGCACAGATGTGGTCCATTTTTCCGACGGTGGTTTATATATGTTAAAAATTTTTGTGTTCCCTATCTCGATTCCGACCGTATGCTTGTTTCCCTTTAACCTCCTTATGTTTTTTGGGTCCAAGTCTTGACTCACAAAGGTAGCCATGCCATGTTTGTTGTGCCCTATGTAGTCGATCAGCTGAAAGCCTGGGATCTTTAGCTTTCCAAGCTGATCATCCGAAATATGGGTCTCTTGCAGTGCTAAAATGTCCGCGTGGTGGAAAACATGACTGATTAATTCAGCCTTTGACTTGGTCATTCCTTCAACGTTGAGCTGCACTATTCTCAAAAGATATTCTGTGGCTTTATTACCAATTTTATTATTATTACCATGGTTTAAGTTTTGGTCCTTTTGGTTATCAAGGCTATGTCCATACTGTTTTTTGGTATTTTCCTTTTTATAAAATTTTTTTTGGTTTTTGGTAGTTTTCTTTTCTTCTGGAACTAGTGCTACTTTCAAAGCATGTGTCCTAGTAGCCTTGAAAAAGACTGTTTTGCCGGTATGGCCAGGAGGTCCTAAGACGTTTGGCCGCCAATTTGGTGCTGTTTTGTTTCGTGTCATAGTTGTATAATTTCTTAAGTGGAGAACTTTGATATTACTTGGTAACAATGACACTACTAAACAGGGGAGACCACGAGAAGGTACAGCACCACCTCCCCCAAGAAAATTGGATGATTGCTGCAAAAAAAATTGATTCCTTTTTTTCTAAAGTGAATCATCTTGAAAAGAAAATTAACGATATGGATAAAAAGTACCTATTTAGGATTTAATTATTTAAATAATTTAAAACTTGTTTTATTGAAGATTTATCTTCTCATTCCTATTCAATCCCTTAACAATAATGATTCTTACATAATAGCTGGGGATATTAATATTAATATTGATGATCAAAATATTTCTAACGATTACCTTTGATACAATGGTAAATTGTAAATTTGTATCATATAATAATGAGTTTCCTTAGGTGACCAACAGTACTAAATCTTTTATTGATCATATTATTTTTATTTTATTTTTGGCTTATTCCGGGCCTTGTAGGTCCATCGCCGCTTCCACTACACCTCTCCATCTCTTCCTGTCCTTCGCCAGTAAGTTGTTCTCCCTCTCTTATTCCCAGGAGTTTGAGGTCTTCTCTAACTCGGTCAATCCATCGTCGTCTGGGTCGTCAACTCGATCGTTTTTTGCCTGGCTTCCATACTGTGATCTCATGTACTCTTTGGCCATCCACTCTCCATACGTGATCAGCCCAGTTTATCCGTCTGCTTTTAAGAATTCCTAATATGTTTGGCTCATTGAATATTTCGCTCAGATCTGCATTGGTTCTTCATTCATATATATTCTCCTCTTCGTTTCTTTTGGGCCCATAGATTCTACGTAGGATTTTCCTTTCAAATATTAACAGTCTTTTTTCGTTCGATTTTGTTGACGCCCATGCTCCACAAGCGTACAGGACTACAGGTCTAAAAAGCACTTTAGAAAGTCTTAGTTTCATATTTTTGGACAGTAATCTTGACTTAAATAATGGTAAAATAGTACTTATTTCCTGCCATTATTCTCCTGTTAATTTAAATATTTGCTTATTATTTAATGTCTACTCCAAGGTATTTAAAGTTTGATACCCTTTCGAAGGTTAAGTCTTCAACTACTAGTGAATCTTGAATATGTGGTCTTCGAGATATTATTAAGTATTTCGTTTTTTGATCATTAACTTGCAGTCAAATCTCTTTCCCCTGGCATATTAGCTTTTCGGCCGTCCATATTACCCCTTCTTCTGTTTTTCCTATAGTTATTATGTCATCCGCGTATGATGCTAATGATCTAATAGTTTTTGGCGTCCTTCTCATATGCTTAAGCCCGTTGAACCATCGAGTATCTCTCTCACTACCTACTGTTTCTAGGGATGTATTAAATAATCTATTTGACAAAGAGTCTCCCTGTTTTAAGCCTGTTTCCACTGTGAACTCTTCATATTCTCCGTTAAACTTAACTGTACACTTAGAGTGTTGCACGCATGCTTTTACCAGTCTCACCAGTTTTGCATTGATTCCAAGTTGGGTCATTACTTTCCGGAGTCTATAACGGTTTATGGAGTCATATGCCTGTCTGAAATCGACAATTAATAGAATAAATTATAATCCCTCCCGAAAAAAATTCTGGATATTCTACTGGTTACGGGTCATCTTTTTTTCTCCTTTTATGCGGAAATGTGGAGGTTCATTTCCTCACCCCCCACCACCCCCCCCCCCACTTGAGAAATTCAGGAATTCGACTACTCCAATCGTTTGTGCCGTTTGTGTCCCCCTTCCAACCTCTTTCAACAAACGTTTGTGGATTAAAATAGAAAATAAAAATAAATAGAATAAAAAAAATCTATAATTGAAAAAATCGATATTTAATAAAAAATCTATGTTTAATAAAAATCAATGCCGTTATATTTTGTTAAGCAAATCTATATTTTGATAAATATATTCTATAAAAAAATCTTAATTTTATAAAATAGGTTTATATTTAATGGAAAATCTATGTTGAATAAAAATCAATGACGGTGGTTATTTTATAGCATTTATTATAATTTATAAACAATGATGATGGTAGTCCGATAATAAAGATAAAATATACGTGATGCTCAATGTCTCAACTGAGTATCATCAGAAGTACTCAATGCAAGCCCTGGAAGAAGTACGAATAATCTTTAAAAAATATGTAAGTACCTACTTATTTTTCTTTTTACTCCCACTTTTCATAAATTCTAATATTTTTATACATTATACTTTCTAATAAAAAAAACCAAATACATGTTTCTGTCGAGGAAGATGAAAAGCGAAGAGGACATGAAAGACTTGGAAGTTGACAGTCTCACCTTTCAACAAGTTAGCCCTTTTAAATATCTAGGCTTTAATGTAAATAGTGCATATTGCATGCGCGAGGAAATAAAGCTATGCCTAAAGTCTGCTAATAAAGTATATTTTACTATGGTCTCATTGTTTAAGTCTAGGTTACTATCTAGAAAAACCAAAGAGAAATTGTATACAATTTATCTAAGACCAATTATTGCTACATATAGATGAAATACATGATCCTCAACTGAAGGGGATTACAATAAACTTCTCGTCTTCGAGAGGAAAATGTTGAGAAAAATGTATGGACCTATTTTCGATGTCAATGAACAAAAATGGTTCAGGAGGTCAAATGAGGAACTGAAGAATCTGTATTTAAAAGAGAACCTAGTGCAGTTTGTAAGGAGTTCGAGACTTGCCTGGGCTGCATGAATGGACAGCTGATGGGTCTCTTATAAAGATGGTTATGGATACCATAACTTATGGTAAATCAAATAGATCGGAAAATACCAAAGGGACGTCCAAGGCAAAGATGACTTGATGTAGTTAGAAAAGATATAGAGCAGTTGAAACCGGACTGGAATGGAAATTTGGATCTAGCTTATGCAAGATGAGTATGGGGGAAATTGATTTTAGAAGCAAAGAGCCTAAATGTCTCGTAAAAGCTTAAAAAAAATACTTCTTAATCAAATTAAAAAACATTAAAAAACAACAACTAAGCATTTTAAAAACACAATACAATAATTACTAGAAATAAAAAATTTCTTTTTTTTTTAGCTAAATGTTATTAAATTGTATTATTAATTAGGTCTTTAAACTACAAAATCACTAAATGAGCAAAAATATGAAATGTAAAGATTTACGATTATTTTCGTAATGTCGTAAAATAATTTCAAGTTTAGTGTTTACTTAGCGACAAATCTAATAGCCCCCAAAAACATGCAAATACAACAACTTCCGAGCTCTATAATGACTACGAATGACTGTAAACTATGAAATATTTAATCAAAATCAACAAAAAATATCACTAGGTATACCTATTATAATTATAATTTAAAGTTATCAGTTATCTTTCTTACTATACTCGGGTAGAGCTCTATTTAATAATTATGTAAACACTGTCCGATTTATATACGTATCATGCGAATGAAAAATAAAACAGGATATTTTTAAATCACTGATTATAAATCTATCTTTTCTGTTTTGAATTAATGGAATCTTGATTATTCTGTAGTTAGTATTATTTTTAATAGCATATAAGTATCATTCATTTTTATTTTATAGTGATTAAAATTAAACTTAAACGTTAAACGTACTTACCTATTTACAGTAAAATTGTACTACCAAATTCAAAGAAATATTTATTAATTTATATGCATCAACTATAAATATAATATTTTTAAAATTGTATCATCGTTATTTTGCCCAAAATGCTATATAGTTGTGCATTTATATATTAAATGTGGTCAGTATAATATATTTCCATTTAACTAATACCATTGATTATAAATACTAGTATTATTTAGTAGGTATTTATTAAATAATTTACACGTTTAAATATCATCCTTAATCAATAAATACACAAAGAATGTGACAATTTGTTACAGTCCTATAATATCTAGGTACAGTGTGATCATAGACAAAGATACCAGGATTAACTACTAGCGCTATAGTAGGTACTGGTCACGAAAACGCGCGGATGATTCTAGCACCTCAGCTCCGGTGGCGTTTTCCGTTAGGACTATAGTAGTTTAGATAGCTCTAACGAAAAAACGACACTGGAGGCTCTAGAATCATCCGCTCGTTTTTGTGACCCGTACTATAAACACCGCTTCGTGTCTCATTATCACACTAAGATTTCTAATCAATTTTTAATGATGTTCGCTCCGCAAACACAATTTAAACAATTCCTTTTCGCGCCAGTGCATAATCACGGACCGGACAATAGCTGCAGCGGCAGCTGATTGTCTGGTGTGTGGGTAAACGGAAAAAAAAACCACAGAAAAAAAACCAAAAAAAAAAAAAAAACACGGAAAAAAAAACCAAAAGAAAAAAAACCTTAAAAATAAAAACCAAATTTTTATCTTTTGCTATATTATGTCATATTTCATTGGACATAGGTTATAGTTTTCTAATTAAAAATGTAGATCAATAGACAATAATCCAACTTACAAGGAATAAAGTATAAAAACATAATTCAAAACAATTGTATAACATTATAATAATATCAATTCAATTCAATTTTTAAAATATATTTTTTATTGAATTTGGCATAGTTTTTATTAAAAGGTCGGTAATGTCACAATATACAATACCAAATAATATTATATTTTAATTGTATAAAAAAAATTGTCAATACAAACATCGATGACAATACCATACTAAGAATAATGATTTAAAATATTTAAAGATAAAATAATTTGATCTGTCGAATAAAGTAAAAATAATAAAATACCAATAATTAAAATAAATATATATAAATAAAATTGTGATCATCAAGTAAAAATAATAATTTAAAAAAATGTTTATAAAAATGTATGTTATCGATATCTTATCCTAAATAACCCTTTCTGCTCAACCCATAGGTTGAGTCCATGCATCGCATACATATATGAAATACAACCACCACCCCACTCTTCCTCCATAGATCGCCGTCACCGACTAACATTGACACACACACACACATTATATATCTATATATTGCATATAGGTACATACAACATCACACACACACCCACATACCCACATATGATTCCAATATTCCATATAGTACACGAACAAGCCACCCAGTCCTTTGTTCATTACATTACTTACGAACGCTTATACACACACACATACACATATATATAGTATATACACACATACATACATACATACATACATACATAAAAATATTATATAATGAAATTCAAATAACATCTCGCCTATCATACGTTATACATCGGAAATGTATCTCACACACAAATATAAACTTGTTAAAAATTTAATTTTAAAAATATACACTAAAATATAGATATTTTCGTTTTGTATTCACACATTCGTCCCCCTGACTACATACAGAAATATTTATAATATATATATGGTAAATCGTTTAATCGTTTACAAATATCGATGAGTTTCGTTCGCACATTTCTCTTGCAACAAACATACACTCATACACCCATAGGATAGTTCATTCATATTTAGATACTTACATAGTAACATATTATATACATATATACACACATTCATTAGGTATCACAAACACCTAAACATATTATAAAATTAAAGTATTATTAAAATACCCATTCACCTATGAATATACAGTATTCATAATATTATATATTTAATTTATGTACATATATTTATACATACAACATCACACACTCACACAACCAAACATATTATATATCTTAGATACTGTAGCGGATCACATAATATGTGTGACACCGTTACATGGTATACGGTTAAATATAAATAATAAGCAAATATAGATATAGATAATAATAAGGAAGAAGGCTTGTACCTATACACAGTATAGTCATCTGGGTACACATATATACACACAGAATTGTACCATATAAAAGAGACACACAATGTTAATGTTATGTTAGTTAGTCTGGGACCAGTACAGATAATCCCTAGCCAACGAACTCCGGAGGACGATACTGTAAGACGTAAGTAAGTCTTTCGATATTTCTGTAGTTATTAAGTATTGCGTATGTAATAAGCATTGTTAGGTATTTAATGAGTATTGTATATGTATTTAATGATTGGTTGTGTATTTATTTAATAAGGATTGGGTAATAATAAAAACATATCAAATAGAACTTAATATTCGATTTATCTTTCCTGAAGCTCCCGAGTTACATTTAAAATATAATTCATAGGACTCTGAAAACCTTGACTGAATTATCTAAACATAACAGGTTTCCCAACCCCTTTATGTTTTAGTGAAGGCACCGTATCAATTAACACCAGCAATTAGGTCAAATATTAGGTTTGGGTGTTGATTTTATTATACCACAAAAGGTATGGGTGTCACCGGTTTCCGCCAAAAATTACCTTTCCGTTTTCCGCCAATACCTTTTTCCGCCAAATCAGAAAAAACGTCATTCCTTTTTCCGCCAATTATAAATTATTGAATTTTAAAGTTTAGGAACCCTTACGTAAAGATTTAATAATTGCACACTATAGAGTTAAAAAAGGTGGGCAAGTGGGTGTCGCTCTGCTGTACAGTAGGTTACAAGTGGGTCACTGTATAATGGATGATATTAAATTTGAATTCAACGATATAATATCATTGTATAAGAAAAACGATTCTCAGCGGAGACGGTATGTCAGTCTATGTATAAGACATATTATATACATATCTATGGTATCAAACAAAAATAATACCTATAATAAATTCCAAATTAATCATATCACAATATCCATTAGGTACTGGTAACGCGTTATACATCAACAAAAACCGTGATACTAACATAGAAATATAATAGTACAATTTAGAAGTTTCAAGTACCCACGAATAATATTGTTCAATCACAACAAAATAACTAAAATAGTTATTCTAGGTTTTTTAATATGTAATTTCGTCCAAATTTGAATTTAAAATGTCTGTAAAAAATAACTGTGTTCATATATTTTTTAGATTTTTTGGTTACAGTATGAACTATTTATGAGAACCTTTGTTTTAAATTTGCAATCCTTAGCTATAAAAACTGAACATTTTATAATTTATTAATTATAATGATTGATAATTTTCGAGATTTTGATAAATTTTGTCAAAATTCGATGTTAAAATGCTTATAAAAAAAAATTGTGCCTATGTATTTTTAATATTTTTCAACTGCTATTGTAACAATATATCAGGAGCCTTGTATTAAATTTTTACACTTTTTGGCCCAACAGATAAAACTTAATTGATATTTATAGAAAAAAAAAACTAAAAAAATTGAAAACTGAAAATGTCCGTAAACGGCTCAAAAAGAGTCAAAATATTTTCAAAATTGTATGGTGTATAGGAAATGCTAATATAAACATTCAGTGAAATTTTCATGTATCTACAGTTATTCGTTTTTGAATTACAACAAAATAAGGAAATCGCTACATGAGTAATCGAGTGAACATCCAATGTTGTAAAAATTTGAATTTCAAACGCTCATAAAAATTTAATTTGACTTTCCGGTAGAGATTTTTTTATTGATAAAGGTAGACAAACTTATGAGTAATATTGTATTACATTTTCAAATCATAGATTTAAAAAGAAAAATTTTTACGAATTCTTAACTCAAAATAATTCGCTAATTTTCGTGATTTTTCCATATTTTTACAATTTTTGAACTTTAAATGCTTATAAAAAAAAATTGTGATTAAGGATTTTTAATATTTTTCATCTGCCTTTGAAACAATATATTAGGAGCCTTCTATTAAATTTTCAAGCTTTCGCAACCAACAACTAAAATTGTATTGATATTTTTAAAAAAAAAACTAAAAAAAAATGGAAAAAGAAAATGTCCCTAAACAGTTCAAAATAAATCAAAATATTTTGAAAATGTTATCGTGTATAGAAAATGCAAATATTAACAACCAGTGAAAATTTCATGTATATACGTTCATTTGTTTTAGAGTTACACCAAAAACCAAAATCGATTTTTTGAAAAATCAATTTTGCGTAAAAATTCCCGTTTTTCCCTAATTTTTATGTTGTTTTTCCCGGCGCTTGTGAAAACTACTGGGAAATTTATACTTTTGACCCCCCCAAAGTACCAACTAGATTCACTTTCCTATTAGAAAAGCTACTAATGAAGAAAATCCAAGCACTTTTACTGTCCTAAAACGTGATGACAAACACAAAACCAAAAAAAAACACACATCATTGTAAAATCAATACATTCATCGTTTCACTCAGAATCTAAAAATAATAATATTTTTTCCAGTTATTACTTATTATATATTAGTAATGATATTAGTGTACCGACAAAATAAGTCAAAAA